CATAAAATTTATTATATATATATATTTATAAATAATGTCAAAATTATCTAAAAAAAATGGAGTATTAGATCAATTAATCAAAAGTTTAAAATGAAATACATTTGAAAATAAAAATCAGTTTTTAACCAACCTTCACCGAATTGGGAATTCAATGACGGAACCCTCGCCGCCAGACCCTCCACCCAAACCGGATGGCTTGCCGCCCCCACCGCTTCCACCACCCCTGGAAACCACTACTTCTGAATCGCACAATCAAACCCTACCTATTGGCATTGCCTCTCTTGAACCACAACTTAAGTCGTTTCGTGATACCTTAATTGATGGTGATGCCTCTCGTACACCGCCTTTGGTAACATTGGAGGAATTGATCGCTGCTGAAGGATTAATGGAAACGATCACGCCGATGGCGGCTGATGGTACTAGTATGGATGCAGTAAAAATTCCGAAAGTTAGAATTCCAAAAGCGTTATGGCAGCGGTTATGCACGCCCTTTCAGAATGCAATTATAGTTAAGTTACTGGGGAAGTCTGTTCACTTCCATGTCCTCCGAGCAAGATTGCAGAAAGAATGGCATACAGAATACGAGTATGACTTTATTGATATTGGACTAGGCTACTACATCGTTAAATTTGGTTCGTCTGAAGACCGATTAAATGTCCTTACAGGAGGTCCATATAAAATCTTTGATCATTATTTGACAGTTCAACCTTGGGAACCTAGTTTCCAACCTGCTCGTGCAAAGGCCCCAAAAACTGCAGTCTGGGTTAAACTTTATGGTGTTCCTGCGATGTGCTATTACGAAGCTGTAGTGCTTTATGTAGCCCGGAAGCTAGGAAATCCAATAAAGGTTGATAGAGTGACTTTATTGGCAACAAGGGGAAAGTTTGCCAGAGTATGTGTTGAAATTGATCTTAGCAAGAAACTGCCATCATCGGTTGATCTGGATTTGGAAGAATTGCCACAATCGCTTATTCTAGTTGAATATGAGGGTCTACATAAAATATGTTTTCACTGTGGTGAATATGGGCATAAGGAAGATTCCTGTAGTCTTAAAAACCCACCTGTGGCAGAAAGCAAGGATCCTGTTACAACTGATGTGAATAACAAAGATCAGGCTAAAGCTATTGTGGCTCTTAGTCAAACCTTGAAACCAGAAACTGAAGAAAATAATATGGTTTATGGATCGTGGATGATTGCCAAGCGCAAACCTAGGAAGAATACCCAAACTAAAAACATGAAAGGGAATCATAACACTGATACTACTGCTAAACAGGAGAACATGCAGTTGGCTGGGGCCAAAAAAGGGCTTGAAAAGACTACAAAAGCAAAAGAAACACGTGGGAGATCCCATGAGAACAGGGAACAGAGTAGCAATAGATTTGCAATTATTTCAGATGTGTTGGAGGAGAATAAAGAGTTGCTAGGCCATGAAGATTCTCAGTCAATTGAGCAGATTGCTACGCCGACTGATCTGGCGGATTCATTGAAACCGAATGCCACCATGGATATCATTCTTGCCCTTAGACCAGAGGTTCAAGATAAACCTGTTGAATCATGTCCAACTACTATTGTTTCTAATGAGCCCATTATGTTAACTGAATCACTAGCCCACCAAACCAAAGCTAGGAAAAAGAAGAACAAGACTAGGGCCTTAAAACCAGTTTCAAAGATCTCCAAACCACCTCCTTTGAAGCCACTTGAAGTTGTGACAATTGAGACAACACAGATTAACTCTAGTCAGGAGAAGTTGTCTACAGTACACACCCACCCTCCACCCTCCTTAACACAAAGTCACCCAATGTCCCAAGGCCACTGCATGACTCCCCATCAACTCTCTTTAGATGGTGAGGTGAACAATACAGGTCATCAGCAGTTGCATTTACTTCAAGTTACTACATCACATGATGATCCACAGGCACTTGTAGCTTACGCTTCAAACCCAGCCATACACTTACAAGTGGCTACCTCTCCTCTTACATCTTCCCAATGAAGGTTGTTACTTGGAATAGTAGGGGTGTTAAATACAGCCCATTCCGAAGGGAATGCAAAGAACTTATTAAGATGCATAGACTAGATATCTTTTGCTTCTTAGAAACAAAATCTAATTCTTATGATGATTCCATGGCTTTTATGGCACGTTTTGGATATGATGAGCAGTATCAAGTCCTTTCGCAAGGGAGGGCAGGTGGCTTATGGCTTTTCTGGAAATCAAAATCGGTTTCATTAGTAGTTCTTTCTGCTTCATGTCAAGACATTCACTGTCGAATTGACACCGGTTCCTCTCATTGGTTTCTCACATTAGCATATATTCAACCGAATAGTTCAAAGAAGGAAGAATTCTGGACGTTGATGAGAGCTAGAGTGGCAACAATGCAAGGTAGCTGGATTGTTATGGGAGATATGAATGATGTCTTATCTGCAGAGGAAGTCTCTCCAATACCAAATTATGGATTTTCAAGGGCTCAGGTGTTTCGAGATAGGTTAGATGATTGTGGTTTATTTTCTAAAGAGGCTTTAGGATGTCATTTCACGTGGACTAAGAAGAGAAATGGTAGAACAGTGATGAGGGAAAGGCTTGATAGAGCTGTTTTGAACCTTAGAGCAATGGAAGAGTTTCCTACGGCTAAGCTAATTAATCTCCCAAGACTTTGTAGTGACCATCATCCAATCTTGTTAAATATACAACCTAATTCTGCAGTGAGGCGTCCACGAGGACCTCCACGGTTTGAAGCAGCGTGGTTAACAAGAGAGGATTTTGGTGCAGTGTTTGAAAACGCTTGGAAATCACATAATGTGTCTTTGCCACGAGCTATTGAAGAGACAAGTAAGGCATGTTTTGCATGGGGTAAGGAGAGTTTTGGAGATATCTTCAAACAGAAAAGATTACTTGTAGCCAGACTAACTGGTATCCAAAATTCTAATAATTATCAGTATTCAGTCTTCTTGCAAAAGCTAGAGGGAGAGTTGCTTACAGAATACCATAGGATTCTTCACGCGGAAGAACTATTTTGGTGTCAGAAGTCGAGGGTAGAGTGGATCAATTCAGGGGATAGGAATACTTCTTTCTATCATACATCGACAATTGTTCGAAGAAACCGAAACAGGATTGCAACCTTGAAGATTGACAACAATTGGGTGGATGATGATATGCAACTTCGATCTCATGTTCGATCCTTTTTCCAAGAGCTCTTTGTGGCAAAGCCAAAAAATATAATGCCTAACTCCTATCTCAATTTCCAGCCGCAAATGGAAGACAGTGCACATGAATCGCTTTTGAAACCAGCCAGTTTGGAAGAAGTAAAGCAAGCTCTATTTTCTATGAAAGGGTTAAAAAGTCCCGGGCCAGATGGGTTGCAAGCCATTTTTTTCCAAAAATATTGGACCACTGTATCAGGAACTCTCCTACAGTTTATCAATTCAGCTCTAATTACTGGATCCTTTGAGCCTTCCCTTTTGCAGGCACATGTTGCATTAATCCCAAAAGGTGATGCTCCAGATGTTATTCAGAAATTCAGGCCAATCACTTTGCTTAATGTGGCTTATAAGGTTCTATCTAAAGTTTTAGTAAACAGGTTAAGACCTTATTTACAAGAGCTCATAGGGCCTTTTCAGAGCAGTTTTCTTGCTGGCCGTAGTACCATAGATAATATAGTTCTCACCCAAGAGGCAGTGCATAGCATTAGGCATAGGAAAGGGAAGAAAGGTGCCATTATTTTAAAGATAGATCTTCACAAAGCTTTTGATAGTGTTAGTTGGGGTTTCCTAGAGAAAGTTCTACTAGACTTCAATATTCCTCCAACACTAGTAAAGCTTATAATGTTTTGTGTGAATTCTGTGAAGCTGTCTGTGTTATGGAATGGAGAACCACTGCCTTATTTTGAGCCACAAAGAGGTCTAAGACAAGGAGATCCTTTGTCTCCTTATCTCTTCATTATGGTTATGGAAAAGTTATCCCATATGATTTTAAACAGAATACACTCAAAGACTTGGAAGCCAATACAACTAAGTAGAGGAGGTCTTACTCTATCTCATTTATTCTTTGCTGATGATTTAATGCTTTTTTGTGAAGCTTCACATTCTCAGCTATCAATGGTGATAAACTGTCTGAAGGAGTTTGCAAGTTATTCAGGTCTTGAAATTAATTTGGCAAAATCAAAGCTTTTTGTTTCACCAAATATTCAGTCTGCGATGGCTCGATCTTTTAGCATTTCATGTGGTATTCCACTTACGTCAAACTTGGGCACTTATCTGGGGGTTCCAATAATTCATGGTAGGAATTCTGCAGCACAATACAAGTATATAATTGAAAAAATGCAGTTAAAATTAGCCAGTTGGAAACAAAATACATTGAGTTTAGCAGGAAGAAGGATTCTAATCCAGTCTGTAACTTCATCTATTCCTGCATACACTATGCAAACTGTCTTATTGCCTCATAGCACATGTGATGCAATAGACAAAATGAACAGGAACTTTCTTTGGGGCACAGAGACTGGGAACTCACGGCCCCACCTTGTTAGCTGGGAGGTGGTTTGTAGAAGTAAGGATCAAGGAGGCCTTGGATTGCGAGCAGCAAGGGATAACAACCGCGCATTGGTCGCAAAACTGGGTTGGAGAGTTCTGGTAGGGGATGAAGCCCCTTGGTGTAAAGTCATGAGGCAAAAATACCTCCGCACAAGTACTTTCCTTTCTGCAGAAGCTAGTCCAAGGTCGTCAGTTACCTGGAGGAGCATTATTCACTGCAAAGATGTGTTAGAATTTGGGTTGCAGTGGCGGATTGGTTTGGGTGATTCTATAAATTTCTGGAAGGATTATTGGACTTATAGTTCACCCTTGTTTAATTTCATCACAGGTCCAGTCGTTATGGAATCATTAACAATGCCAGTTTCCCATGCCATTAATAGCTCCATGAATTGGGATAAGGAGTTTCTAGCCAACCTACTACCGCTAGCACAAGTGAATGAAATTCTGTCCATTCCATTGTCTTCAACTGCCAGTGTTAA